AAAAGAAAGAAGGAAAGAAAAAAAGAGACAGAAAAGAGCAAGCAAGCAAGAAACTCAGTGGTTAGGAACACTGGCTGTTCTTCCAGAGGACCTGGCTTCAATTCCTAAACCCCACACGGTGGCTCACAACTCTGTAACTCTAGTGCCAGGAGACCCAGCACCCTCTCTGGGCTGTGCAGACAGCAGGCACCAAAGTGGTACACAGATCCATATACAGGAAAACACACATAAAACGAAGAGTAACTCAACCTACTCGAGAGCAGGGAGGAAAAGAGAAAACAAACACAGGTCCTTCTGGGCTGGGTTGGTGGCTCAGCTGGCAGGCTGCTCGCCTAGCTCAAGGGCGGCTCTGGCTTCCATCCTCATGACCACATTCACCCAGTGTGAGGGCACGCAGCTGTAATCCCAGCATCCAGGTGGAGGAGGCAGGAAGAACAGAAGGTCAATGTTGTTCTTGGCTACACAGCAAATTTGAGGCCAGCCTGTTCAAGAGATTATATCAAAACATTAAAAAAAAAATGTGTTGGGTGTATTTACCTTTAACCCTAGCATTTAGGAAGCAGAGGCAGAAGCAGGCAGAGTTGGAGGCCAGCTTGATGTAGTGAGAATTCTGGAATCTTGGTTCCTTAAAAAACAGAGATATAAGATATGTTTTAATTTTAATCCCGGGTTTAGGGCTGTGGGGCTGCTTGGGACTGTCCCCAGCAGCTGGTCATGATTTGCCTCTTGCTCTAGCAGAAGCATGGTTTTGCCGGCTGCAGATCATTTCTGCGATCCTGTGATGTGTGGAATTCTGGGAACTTTTCAGAGGGCACATAAATGCAAGAAACCCAAGAGTCTGGTAAAGGCGGGAAGAAGAGTCAGTCACACAGTAGCAAAGACCAGTTACAGCTTGATCTGGGAGCGAATTCCAGCTGGGGCTACATAATGGCAGCCTGTCTCTAAACAAAACCAAACCAAAAGTCACCCAAAGCTCCCAGCACAGGTGTTGACATGGCTGGTGTCACGTAGGGGCCAGGAAAGGGAAGCTGGAGGGCTCCCATGGGGCCACCGCGTGGAGCCTTCCTGGCGGCAGTTTTAGGACAGGGGAAGGACAGTTGTTTTGCGGCAGTTCTGCTGCTGTGTGGTTTGAGGGTCCTGTGTCTGTCAGGAGTACCCGGAGCGTGAGCAGGACCCAGCTTGTCCTGGATTAGAGGAGAGGACTCCTCCGTGGAGTCCTTACTACCCTGGCTGGCCTCCCTGAGGCCATAGCCTCTCCGGCCTGATCAATCAACATCCGTCAGCAGGCAGCTGCGCCAGCCAAGGCCACACATAGCCCAACACACTGTTCTAGCTTGAACACAGAAGCACATCTGAGGCTTATCTGTGACCTCCCTCCTTGAATGTTACTAGTAGAAATTCCTTATAAAAAGGAGAGAAGTTTCCCCAGTCTGCTGGCTGAGACAGAAGTCTAGAGGGGTAGCCCCTGAGGCGCTTCACTGCCACCTGCTGGAAGACGGTGGTTTTACCGCCCACCTAAAAAGTCCGCCACATTAAGTGCTTTGAGACTGTCTATTAAACTGGCAGCACTCCCTGCCTGTCTGGAGGGCTTGGGAAAACACGGCCTGACACCGATGGTCCATCTCTCCTTTTATACTGACTCTCAACCAGAACTGCTTCCAGCCCTCCATTTGGGGAAAAGGCTTTCAAATCTGACTGAATGGCCCTACACCAGGTCCCGCCTGACCTCGGCCACTAGTCCCCAGCTGGTGTCCCTATTTAAGTAGGTTTAGCAAGTGTGGCCTTGCTAGAGAAAGTATATACCCGGGGCCAGCTTTGAGGGTGTAAAGCTGTGTGCCATTCCCAGTTGGCTGCAGTTTAGGCTCAGCTGTTCCTACTCTGGCCCTACTCTGGCCATCACGGGCTCCTAACCCTGTGGAACCATAAGCCCCAGTAAACTCTTATAGGGTTGCCTTGGTCATGGTGTTTTTGTTGTTGTTGCTGCTGCTGCTGTTTTAAAAGATTGGTTTTTCTGTGCGTTGGTGTTGTGTGGCGTTCTGCCTGCATGTCTGTGAGAGGGTGCCAGATCCTCTGGGCTGGAGTTACACACGGTTGTGAGCTGCCATGTCAGTGCTGGGAATTGAACTCCAGTCCTCTGGAAGAGCAGCAGCCAATGCTCTTAAATGTCAAGTCCGTCTCCCCCCCCCCCCCCCATAGTGCTTGATTGCAGCTACAGAAATGTAACTAACACAGTATCCATGGAGGCCGGGGTGCGGCTCAGTCAGTCTGATGGCCCAGCAGGCACAGCCCTCGTTACTCCTCGCTGAGAGTTTGGGCACACACGCCTGGAAGCCCAGTACTTGGGAGATGGAGGCAGAGGCTCAGAAGGTCCGCAGCATCCTCAGTGGTGTCCAGTGGGCAGCAGCCTGTGTTACTTGAGAACCTCCTTTAAAGAAATATCCACCATAAACGTGATGTGTTACCATCTGATGCCTACCCGCATGGTGGCAGTGTTGAACTGTGCCCAGACTGCCTGACAAAGCAGGCTGGGGTCAAAGCCAAAGCCTTCTGGGTTTCTCTCTCTCCTTTATGGTGTTGGGACCAGCATCGTTCCTAGAGACCATCAAGCTGGAAAATGGAAAAAGTTGTGTTCTTCCCAGGTTGTACCCTGGCCTTGGCCGTGTGTGTGTGTGTGTGTGTGTGTGTGTGTGTGTGTGTGTGTGAACATTAGTTCTATCCTTGGCCTTCTGCAGTAGGAACTGCTTGAAAGAACAGGGGAGGGGGAGGGGCCTGCGGGGTGGAAATATTAGTGATGGATGCTTATCTCCCTGGGGCTTTGGTGGCAAAGCCTCCACCTCAGTCCCTGTGAGCTCCAGCTTCCCAGCTTGGGGTCATGGGGGTGGGAAGGAGAGAGTCCCACCATGAGGAACGTTCTTAACTGCTCTACAGTTTTGTTTTTTTTTTTTTTAACTTCACCGTCTTGTAGGAGGATTTTGGAAGAAAATCAATAAAACTCTCCCCGTGCTGTCTGAAGAATGTTCTAGCCCTGCCCTGTCCTTAAGGGGCCATCTGTTGTGTTTGGCCTCTGGGAGATTTGTACACTCCTCAGAGGACAGGGACGTACTGTTTTGGACCTCCCTGAACCTGAAAAGGCTTAGAGTCTTCCAGGGTCCCTGAACTGGGTTTAGAACTCCACCCCAGTTCTGTCCAGATGGCCCAAATGCAGAACCTTAGGGAGTGAGGCTGCAGTCGAGGTGCGGCAGGCTCTCTGGCATGCATGACCCTGGCTGCACTTCTCGGGGTCCACATTCCCCACTGCTTCTTCCTGGAACACCAGAGATCTGCTCCCGTCCAGTACTGGAGAGAGAAGGTTTATTATTATTATTATCATTTGCCTTTGTGAATTATTTATTTGTGAATAAGTAAAGACCCTGTCTTTCCCAGCAGTTCCTCAGACTCATTCTCCTGAAAGAAAGAAAGAAAGAAAGAAAGAAAGAGTTCTGACTCCAAGTCAAATTAGTTCAAAATACTGCCATGGCTTCCCAAAATATTGAGAGTGGAAAGCCAATGTCTTCTATCTGACCTCAAGCCCAGTGACCTCTCTGGTCCCCGGGGTCATTGCTCTGTTTCTTCTCTGCCTGCAGTGATCTCTTTACAGGCTCACTGACCTGCTCTTTATCAGGTTCATCTTGCCTGGTTAGCCTGTTAGAAGGCATCTCACTTTATCTCCCGTCTTCATTCTTCCTGAAAGTAGTCACCACAGTCCAGATATTTAGTAATCTGTGGCTGGAGAGAACGCTCATCAGTTAAGAGCCTGTGTTGCTGGTTTTCAGGGGACCAACGTTCAGAACTCCAGCTCCAGGGACTTGAAGTCCTGTGGCCTCCCAGGGAATGTACACACCATATAGACACATATACCCCAAATACACCTGCACATGCCCCGTACACACGATTAAAAGGAGCTGGAGAGATGGCTCAGTGGTTAAGAACAGTAACCGGGGGCTGGAGAGATGGCTCAGTGGATGAGAGCACTGCCTGCTCCTCCCGAGGTCCTGAGTCCAATTCCCAGCAACCACATCATGCTCACAAACACCTATACTGCATCTTCTGGCATGCAGGCATACATGCAGATAGTGTACTCACTCATACATAAAATAAAACAAATCTTAGAAGAGAAAGAAGAAGGAAGAAGAGAAAGAAAAAGGAAGAAGAGGCGTAGAGTGGTAACTGGGAGCCAGGCCTGGTGGCGCACGCCTGTAATCCCGGCACTCAAGGAGGCAGAGGCAGGCAGATTGCTCTGAGTTTGAGGCCAGCCTGATCTACAAAAGGGAGTCCAGGATAACCAGGGCTACACAGAGAAATGTTGTCTCAAAAAAAACAAAGAGAGAGCGAGAGTGAGCGAGAGAGAGACTGGTAACTTCTTGTTGGAGACAGGGTTTGTTTCCCAGCATATACATGAAGTTTCAACTGCCTGTAGCTCAAATTCCAAAGAATTTGATACACACACACACCACACACACACACACACACACACACACACACACACACACACACACACGGAAAAAAGAAAAATGGAGACATGGCAAGATGGCTCAGCGGTTAAGAGCACTGGCTGCTTTTGCAGAGGACCTGGGTTCATTCCCAGCATCCCCGTGTAAGCGCGCAACCACCTATAACTCCAACCCCGAGGGATGTGACGCCCTCTTCTGGCCTCCGACCGCACCGTGGTGCACTGAAATGCTTGCAGGCAAACCCCACCCCCACAAAAATGGAAACAAAAAAGAAGTGCGGAAGGAATAAGATTGAGGCAGCAGTCTAGGACCAGCCCCTCCAGCAAGCGCCGACCGGATTGGCTCCAGTCGCTGAAACCGGCCCCGCCCCCTCACTTTCTATTCCCTATAACCTATGGCGCTGGTTAAGCCCCTTCCTGATGGCTCTTCTCGCTCCGCCCCCAGGCCCCGCCCCTTCCCGGGCGCGCTCTCTAACGGGTCAGGTTAGGCGCTAGCCCCGCCCCTCTCTAGCCACTCCCTTTCCTGTCCCGCCCCGAGCGCCAAGCCCCGCCTCAAAGGGCGGGGCTGAGGCGGGGCTCTGGCCCTCGCTGTTTCTCCCGCGCGCTTGGCTGTGCGCGAGCGGTGGAGCGGTGCGACCGCCGCGTGTCCCGCCCGCCGCCCCGCGTCGGCTCCGCGCTGGAGAGGTCGGTGCCGGACACCGTGGCCTCGGCCGGGGCGGCGCCCTGGGCCGCCCTGGAGGCCCCCGCCCGCCTCCTGCTGCAGGCGCTGCAGGCGGGGCCCGAGGGCGCGCGTCGCGGCCTGGGGGTTCTGCGCGCCCTGGGCCGCCGCGCCGAGCACTTCCCTTGGGACGGCTTCCTGGAGGCGCTGGGCCGCGCAGAGCCCGAGGTGCGGGGCCCCGACGGCCGCCTGGAGCTGTGAGTCCCCGCCCGTGGCCCCCGCCTCCCCGCCGCTTATTTGTCTGCTTGGGTCAGGGTTTCATCTCGCTCAGGCCGGCCTCGATCTCAGGATTACCAGCCTACGCCCCAGCCTGGCTGAGACACGCCCTTTGTCAGGCATAATTCTAAGTGCAGAGTGATATTGTTTGCCTGCATCCATCCCTTTAAAAACGTTGGGCCGGAGAGAAGGCTCAGAGGTTAAGGGCACTGGTTCTTCCGAGGGTCCTGAGTTCAATTCCCAGCAACCACATGATGGCTTACAACCATCTACAATGATATACAGGCAGAATACTGTATACATAATAAATAAGTCTTAAGAAAGAAAAACAAAATGTTGCAGGAGGCAGAGGATCTCTTCAAGTTCAAGGCCAGCCAGGGCTGCATAGAAAGACCCCGTCAAAACAACAATAGAAAAAAAATAAAAATAAAAAAGTACCTCGAAGCCGGGTGTGGTGAAGTGTGGGAGGCAGAGGCAGGCGGATCTCTGTGATTTTGAGGCCTGGTTTACAGAGTGAGTCCAGGACAGTCAAGGCTGCTCAGAGAAACCGCGTCTCCAAAAGCAAAAACAAAAAAAGTACCTCCAATACAGATGTACTTATGTCTTAGGTTGGGTGGACATCGGTGTTAAAATACAGGCCATACAGCGTAGGGTGTAATTTCAGCAACCAGGAAGCTGAGACAGGAGGATTGCTTCAAGTTGGGAGCCTGGGCTGTATGGCTGGCAAAACCATATTAAAAAGAAAAAAGACGTTACTTAATCCGATGTGTTAGGTAATGGAATAAGGCCTGATGAGTTTCAGCTTTTCCAAACACCGTTCACCTTACGGCAGAGGTGGGACACACTCCCTTAGGTGTTCCTGGTTAAGTTCTGAGTGACTTTGAACCTTTTTGTGGACGACAAGGGATTCCCTCTAGGAGCTTGAGTGTCGGCCTGCCTTTTTTCTTCTTTTCCCTCAGTCTCACCCTTTATTTAGTTGTGTGTGTGTACATGTTCTGGCGTACACACATGGACGTTGGGACTCGGCTGAAGTAGCTTCTCTTAGACCACAAATTCTATTTTCTTACTCTGACACTAGTTGATTCCCTCTGACATAACAGCCGTTTCCCATGAGTTAAAAAGTATATTTTCTCTAGCCTCATAGGCCAGGCACCTCTGTGTGATGATGAAGAAGTAGCCCTGGAGTGGGGAGGAGTGATCACAGGGTCGGTTGCTTCGGGTCACACAGGCTCTGCACTGCCGCCCCAGCAAAACCCTAGAGAGCTGAATGTGTGGGGCCCTGAGGGCCCTGGAGGACAGGGCTGAGGGAGAGGATGCCGGTTCTGGCAGCAGCTGCCCCTTAGGAGCTGTAAAGGGTGAAGGGTTATTGCCCAGCTCCTGCTTCGAGGCCCGCTTGCTGTGTGAAGCCCTTTCTGGTGTAGATTCTGACACAGCTTCTAAGAACAGGGCTTCCCTGGTGCCTGTTGGCTATCTCTGACTCTCCTGTCCCCTTTCCATCGTCAGCAACTCTTATTTATCAATTTTTTTGTTTGTTTCACTTTATTTTTCAAGACAGGGTTTCTCTGTGTAGCCCTGGCTGTCCTGGACTCCCTCTGTAAGTCAGGCTGGCCTCAGACTCACAGAGATCTTGCCTTTGCCTCCCCGAGTGCTGGGATCACAGGCGTGCGCCACCGAACCTGGCCGAGATACTTATTTTATGTACATTGGTGTTTTTCCCGCATGCATGTCTGTGTGAGGGTGTCAAATTACTTGGAGCTGGATTACAGATAGTTGTGAGCTGTCATGTGGGTGCTGGGAATTGAACTAGGGTCTTCTGAAGAGCAGCCAGTGCTCTTAGCCCCTGAGCCATCTCTCCAGCCATGTTGTTTTGTTTTTGAGACAGTCTCATTGTGTAGCTTTGCTGGCCTCAAACCCATGGAGATCTGTCTGCCTTAGCTTCACAAGTGCCACGATTAAAGGTGTGTGCCACCAAAGCTGGGCCCCTATCCTCAGCAGCTGTTTGGGGCACCACCACCCATTCCCTGGGCCTCTCTACCACAGTGCCCCAAAGGTACGGTACATGTCTGTAATTAGCGCTTAGGGCGCCAAGGCAGGAGGATTGAGCGGTCAAGGCCAGCCTGGGTGACGTAGTGAGATCCCCAACTCAGAAAGCAAAAAGAAAGCTTCGATTGTTTTCAGGGTTCCACTGTTGCTGCGGTTGCCTGGGGTCTGCCGGAAAAACCTGATGTGCCTGCTGATGGCTGTTCGACCCTCGTTACCTGAGAGCGGCCTCCGATCTGTGCTGCAGCTGGCCCAGCAGGACACAGCGTCTAACCCTGATGCCTGGCTCCACGCCCTGGCGGAGCTGCTGCGAAGGGATGTGGGGCTCCCAGGCCCGGCGGGGGGTGCCTCACCATTATCCACAAGCTGTCGGTCACAGCTCCAAGACCTGTGTGGGCGGCTGGGCCAGGGCGGGAGGGGCCTGAAATCAGCCCTGGCTGCAGATCCTGAGCCAGAGGACAGGCACTCTCAGCTTTGTGGGAAACGGAGCAAGGAGCCAGAGGAAGAGCCTGCCAGCCCTGAGTCAGAGAGAGCCCCTAAGAGGTTCCGGGGTTGTGAGGAGGACTCGGCGGCGGCGGAAGGAAAGGACCAGGAAGAGGGACCCCAGCTGGAGTCCTGGGAATCACCTTCCAAAGGTGCAGGAGGTGTGGTGCCTGACGCTGAAGCCCAGATGCCTGAGGCCAGCCCAGGTGCTGAGGAGGCCGAGCGTCCAGCCCAGACTGTGGAGTTGCCCAAAGTTGTCCAGGTACTGGAGCTGGGGATCTGGGTTCAGGATGGTCCTTCACAGTGATGGTGAAAGCTGGTTCAGACACGTTCCCCTACAGGGACTCTCTAACCCATAGATCAGGGATAAGGGCTGGGGTGTGGAGGAGGGAAGGAGAGGAGCTTCCCCTCCCCAAACTGATGTGGATGAGGAGGGGCTTACAGGAGCCGGAACCTGTCCTGGTGGTCTACAGTATGCGATTGAAGGGTCCAGCCCCGCCGCTCTGCCCTGTGCTGAGTCATGCCAGCAGCTAGCCAGCCAGCCTGCCCATACTGGGTCTACCTGCCCACTGAGGCTGGATGCAGAAAAGACAAAGCAGTGGGCTGGCCTTCGCACAAGCCTGCTCTAGGCATCTTGAAAGATGGCATTGCCTTTGCCCATCAGCTCCCGTTGGTCCTTCCCCCTCTTCAAAGTCTTTATTTTACGTGTGTGCCCACGGAGGCCAGAAGAGGGTGTGCGGTCTCCCGGAGCTAGAGTGACAGGTGATTGCAAGCAGCGCAGTGTGGGCGCTGGAACTGCGCACAGCTCCTCTGGAAGAACGCTGAGCTGCAGGGGGAGCTGAGCGCCTGCTGCAGTACAGGGATGACGGCTGCTCTCTCCTCCGCAGGACCAGGTCCCCAGGCTGCAGGAGCTGCTGAAGGCCTTCCAGGAGGTGACCGGCTCACCCTGTTCCCTAAAGCCCTTTTGGCTTCTGTCTGTACTTTAGCGGTGCCCAGGGAAGCCCCAGATAACGGACCCTGGCATGGGGCTGGGTAGGAGGGAAAGCTGAGGACAGTCACCATGGCGCCAAGGTTGGACAGGCCGTCACCCCCGGGAAGCCCTTTGGTTGTGCCTCCCAAGAGCGGCCTCTGACCCTCACAGCACCTGCCAGCCTTTACTCGGGATTTGCCTCCCCAGGGCCTGGAGGGCTTGGAAGAGCAGCTCTCAGTGGACCTGCAGTGTCTCCATGAGTGTAGTCCCAGCCAGGTGAGCTTCCACCTCTGCCCCTGCCTCTGTTTCCCCACCTCCCGTGGAGCTCAGGGAGGGGCTTGCCTTTTTCAGCCTCTTCAGCGGGGTCACCTGGAGTCGGTGATCAGTCCGTGGTTCCGGCTCTCCCTCCCACGAACCCCGCTCTGCCCTTCCTGTTGCCCCCTGGGCTGTGGCACAGCAGAACCAGCTAATGTCCTCGCTGTCCCCCACCCAGATGGAGGTGCTCTGCAGCCAGCTGCAGCTGCCCCAGCTCCCTGACGGATGCGTCCTGCAGCTCTGCAGCCGCCTGCTGGGTCTCACGCCAGCCCTCAGCATCGCCAGCGCCTCCGTGCTGGCCAGGAGCCTCTTTCTGGATCGGGTGGGTTCAGGGCCACCAGGCCAGGAATGGGGGGTCCTCTTGAGTCCCCAGGAAGGGGTTTGGGAGAGGGGCCGAGGGGTGGGCCCCTGACTGCATGTCCTCATACATGTGACTTCCTCCCAGATGGGCTTTCAGGTTTGGGAGCCAGTGTGACCCTAGACAGATCCGCTGGGCTTTTCCCCTATAACTTTGTCCCCTCCCTGGTGACTAGATCCTCTCGCTGCCGGCCTCCGCCTCCAGGCTGCTCAGAGCTGCCCTGGTCTCCTTCTGCGTGAAGTATACCTACGCTGTGTGCAAGGCTGTGCTCTGTCCCCTGCTGCAGGACCCGGGCGTAGGTGTGTGGAGAGCCAGCCCAGGCCCCTCTGTGCCCTCCCCCCTTCCCCCCTTCCCCCCTTCCCCCGGTGAAGTGGCCCCTTCCCTGTCGCCCTTCTGCCCTCCTCAGCCCTCTCTCCTGTCTCCCGCCCAGGTCCCGCCCAGGCCGAGTTACTGTGTTCCCTTATGAAGGATGGGTCTCTGGAGCCGGACATGCAGCTCCAGATCCTGGGGTAAGTGAGTATGCAGGCTTCTTCCCAGCCAGGCCTGCGTGAGGCCATGGCTTCATCCCCAGCACCACACACGTACACACACACACACACACACACACACACACACACCCATGCACACGCGCCATGGCACTGGGGTCTAACTCTGCCATGTTGCTGTCTGTCTGTCTACCTATCTAATCTACCTTGATCTATCTAACTATCTGTCTGTCTATCTATCTAATCTACCTTGATCGATCTATCTATCTATCTATCTATCTATCTATCTATCTATCTATCTATCTATCTTTGAGGCAGGGTTTCATGTAGCCCAGGCTGGCCTTGAGCATAACTTTGTAGCTGAGGCTGGCCTTGAAATCCCATCCACCTCGCTCCCAAGCGCCAGGGTTATAAGCGCACGGTGGCACACTGGCCTGAGCTCCTCACTCCTGTGTCTGAGCCGGCAGTCATTGTGGGGTTTTTCCAGGCGCGTTCGATAGTGTGTATGTGAGTTCTCAGGAGATCTGACACCCACGGTGCTGGGTGCTGCTCACTGGGAGAGCACGTGCCTGGCACATATGAGGCCCAGCACCAAATTCATGTAACCTTTCTAGTATACAGTAAGTGCTCAAAATTGGCATTAAGTTCAGGCCGTTAAATTGAAGAATGGCTGGGCATTAGTGGTGTAGTGGAGGCAGGAGGAATAGGTGTTTAGACTAGCCTTGGCTATATGTTAAGTTTAGGGCTAGCCTGGGCTACATTATTTCCTAAATGATACAGAGCCTGTGGGAGACAGCTCAGCAGTTAGGTGTACATGGTTCTGGAAGACCCAAGTTTGGGCCCCAGCCCCAGTGTCAGGTGGCTAGGGTGCCTGTAATTAGCTCTGACACTAGTAGCCTGGCCACCTGATCGTGGTGGCACACACAGGTACACACAGTTTAAAAGAGTAAAAATCTTAAGCAAAACACAAAATAAGGCTGGAGAGATGACTCAGCGGGAAGGGCCCTCATAGCCATCACGCCTGACCCCATGAGCTTAAGTCCTGGAATCCACACGGTGGAAACAGGGTAGGTGCCCCTGAGATGGATGGGAAAGCAGATTCCACAGCCAGAGCAGAAACCAGAAATGCTGACTGGGAGCCAGACTTGATGGCTCACGTGTCAGATGTCAGCACTCAGGAGGAAGTGAGGCAGGAGGATTGCTTCGAGTTCTAGGCCGACCAGTCCTTTTGGTTTTCCAAGACACGGTTTCTCTGTGTAGTCCTGGCTGTCAGACTCACCGTGTAGACCAGGCCGGCCTTGACCTCAGAGGTCTGTCTGCACCGCCGCGCCCAGCTTGTGAGGCTTTCATTTTAAAAGAAAAAGATCCTGGCTGGGTGCCTGGGGGGACGGGGCACTGCTCAGATAATGCCAGCGGCTGCTCGGGGACCGTGTGGGTGGGAGGACGGCCTTCCTTAGCGGTGTCGTCTGCAGGCAGGTCCTGGAGCTGGCGTGGCGGGAGGAGGCCTTCCTGGTGTTGCAGGCGCTGCTGGAACGGCAGGTGAGCGGGCTGCCTGAGAGGGCTTCGCTGTTAGGCAGGCAGGCCGCCATTACGATATTATTCTTGTCACTTGTTATTTTGAGACAGGGGCTCATGTAATCCGGGCTGGCTTTGCGCTCACAGTGTAGAAACATGACTTGTCTTCCCCCTACCCCTGTCCTTCCATGATTGGTGTACGACACCATTCCTGGCTCCTGTCATTTTTTCGTCTTAGGTAACTAGTTAATTACCTTTCTTGCTGTGATAAATTAGCTCACAAAGTCAACTTGAAGAAGGAAGGCTTGGCCATCTCTAACATGAACTCATGGGCTGCCTCTTTGATCACCTCCACCTGACGGGGGAGCAGCCTTACCCATCCACAGAGAAAGACAAAGAAGCCAGTCCTGTTAGACTAGCGTCAGAGGGAAGGGGAGGAGGACCTCCCCTATCAGTGGACTGGGGGAGGGGCATAGGAGAAGAAGAGAGAGGGAGGAAGGGTGGGATTGGGAGGGGATGGGAGAGGGGGCTACAGTTGGGATACAAAATGAATAAACTGTAATTAATAAAAATTTTAAAAAAAGGCAGGTTTGGTTTTGGCTTCCAGCTTAAGGATACAGCTAGTCATGTTGGGAGAGGTGTGGGGAGACAGAGGCTGAGGCTGCTGGTTCCGTGGGGTCCACATACAGAAACTGAAGAGGACCCCAGCCCGAGTGATGGTGCCTCCTGCCTTCAAGGAGGACCTTCCTTTAGTGGAGCCTTGCGGGGTGCCCTCATGGACATGCCCACAGGTGTATTTCCATAGGGACTGGAAATCTGTCTAGTTGGCGGATGAAAGTGGAGCATCACAGTGGCTGACTGTGGCTGTTCCTGCCCAGGTTTCCTTCTCTGAGAGTGTGGTGAGATTTCAAGATGGTGGGTGTGAGGTGCTGACTGCCACCTCATACTGATGAAGAGCTGGCGTGTCCCTCAGGACCTCAGCGCACCTCCCCCCCTTCAGTCAGGCTTCAACCACTGAGGCAGGCTAGAGCCCCTGGCTCCCCCATGGCCCTGGTCTGAGCAAGGGCAGTGAAGCCATGGCTATGCTGTCTCGTTTGTCTTCTTCACAGCCCTCAGTTACTTTGAGTTCTGTTGTCCAGTTGTGGGGATGGGGCTTAACTTGGTGTGTTAGCATCCCCTTACTGTGACAAAATGCCAGAGGCAAAAAGCAGGGAGAAAGGCTGGCATAGGTTCACAGTTCAGAGTTTCTCCCTGTTGTTGGCGCCTTTGCTCCTAGGCCTGTTGGAGGCGCCAACATGGAGGAAGGAGCGGGTGATAGGTAGGCCGCTTGGATCGTGGCAGCTGCGAAGCAGAGGGAGAGCAGGGACCAGGCTACCACCGCCCCCTTTAGACAAACCCCAGTGTCTGAAGGCTGCACCATCTCCCGGCACCTCGCCCTGGGACCACGTCTTCAGCACTTGAGTTTGTGGAGGAACATTCTAGAGAACTCTTTTCAGCTTCCTGCTAGGAAATGGAGAGCTTGGGTTTGAACCAGGGCTGCCCTTGTATCACTGTCCCATGTCCCAATGTGTGCAGGTGGAGATGACCTCTGAGGTGTTCAGTGTCTTGGTGCAGAGGCTCTGCAAAGAGGGACCCACAGCCACCACCTCCATGGCCTATGCCAAGCTGATGCTGACAGTGATGACCAAGTACCAGGCCAGTGTGAGTATAACAGGCTCATTCATCCAGCCGGTATCTCTATGATGGTGGGATGTGGGCCTTTGAGACGGTAGGAAAGCCCATCATGCTGACCTTCTCCTTGAGCTGACCCTGTCCCCAGCCGTCATCCCTGGGAGGAGCCGTGCACAGGCATTTGGTGACAAAGGAGCAGAGCAGCTAAGCTTTATTGGGGATTGGGACTGAGGATGGTGATTCTGTGGGGCAGGCTGAGCCAGGAGAATAGCTATAAGTCCAAGGCCAGTCTGGGCTACATAATGAGACAAATACAAAATACAAAAATAAAGCCAGGTATGGTGGTAAATGCCCAGCATTAGGGAGGCAGAGGTAGGTAGGTAGGTGATTATGTGTTTGAGGCCAACCTGGTCTACAAAGTGAGTTCCAGGACAGCCAGAGCTATGTAAACACCCTGTTCCATCATGAAGAAGATGATGGTGATGATGACGATGGTGATGATGATAATGGTGATGATGATGATGTGATAGGAGGGGAGGGCTGGGAGGAGCCCAGTTGGCAGAGTGCTTGCCTAGCATACACAAAACCTGGGCTCAGTTCTGAATACTCTGTAAACTGGATGAGGCAGACATGTGATCCGAGCACTGAGCGGCAGAGGCAGGAGGATCAGAAGTTCAGGGCCAGCCTTGAACATGTGAGACTCTTGGAAGTTAAGGGAAGAAACAAGGATGTGGTCAAGACCAGTCCAAGGCCAGTCCAAGCTGTATGAGAGGTTCACTGCCATCCCACTACACATGAAAGCCGTGTAGACAAGGACTGAATTGGAAGACCGTTCGCGGCAGGGGCACGGCACGAGCGGGGCTGCCCTTGTAGGCAGGGAGAATCGGGTGGCCAAGACGAAGCTGTGGGTTGTTGATGCTTCTAGCCACAACCCAAGCGCTGTACCAAGCCTTTGAGTCTGCTTGCTCCCAGCCTGTCCCCTGCATCAAGACTCAAGATGCTGCCAGCTCCCCTCTGTCCTGCCCATCGGGCCTCACGTGGTCAGCTCCTTTTGTTGGTTTGCTTTGAGGCGGGGTCTGCTGCCTGCTTGGACTTCTCCTCTGTGCTGTGGTCCGTCTGCCTCGGCCCCCCATTCTGCTGGGCTGTCTCCTGCCACAGTGTCTGTGTCGCAGCTCCATATTACAGAGGGGACGGGTGGCAGCGGCTGCAGGCTAAGAGATTAGCTCACAATATCGAAGGCCATGGGGGGTCATGGGCCTGGGAGCTTTTCGTTTTGTTTTGTTTTGTTTTGTTTTGTTTTTAGACAAGCTCTCATGGAGCTCAGGGTGGCCTTGAGTTTGCCTTGCAGCCAAAATGACCTTGCACGTCGGACCCTCCTGTGTCCAGCTCCGAGTGCTAGGATAACAGGGTGTGCTTCTGTGGCCTGGTTCATGCAGTGCTGGGCCTGGAACTCAGGGCTTCCTGCCTGCTAGGCCCTGTAGCTTTGACTAGCTTGAACCCGCTATGCTGACTGGCCTCAGGCTCCGCCTATGCCTCCTGGGTGGTGGGCTTAAAGGCCTGGGCTCAGCTCGCTTTTTCATACAATCCAGGACCACCTGGCCAGGGGCAGCACTGCCCACAGGTGGCTGAGCCGTCATCTGTTATCTAACAATACAGAAATGCCCCTCAGTGGAGGCAGCCTCTTTACCCAGCTGTGTCAGGCTGACAGCCAAGATTGGCCATCACACAGGGAATTAGCCGAGTCCGTGATCCCAGGGAAGTGGGAGTTGGAACATGAGTATGCTGTGTAGTTTTGGAGCTCCTGGGTCCTCCAGAGACTTCTCTAGATCCTGGAAGAAGGGCTGTCCCCAGAGGCATCAGGACCTTCAGCTGCAGAGGGACCTGCCGCTGTCTTCTCTGAGGAGTGGGGTTTGGAGAGTGAAGATGTGGAGCCTGAGCCTTGTGAGAAGAAACAGGGACAGGCCAGAGAGCGAGAGCATGGCCAGAGCAGAGGGGTGGCTCAGTGGGGTGTCCCGAACTCTTGCTTCTCATCTGTAGCCCGGGAGGGCCAGGGGGCCCTGTGAGACACACCTGGGCTCCTGAGCTCTCCAGCTGGGAGAATTGCAGCCTGTGGCGGTGGGGAGATGAGGCTGGCTGCTGCGGTCCTGACCTGAGTCCTTCTGTCCAGATCACAGAGCAGCAGAGCCTGGATCTGGCCATGGCCCTAGAGCCCAACGCCACCTTCCTGAAGAAGTCCCTGCAGGCGGCACTGAGACATCTGGCCCACTGACCACCCGCAAGGACCCCCTGACCCCTCACCTTAGAACTGAGCACAGCCATCTCAGGAGTCAGCTGCCACCTGTCCAATATCCAAGCTGTGCAGAGGCCATCTTGACATCAGGAAGAGCAGAGAGGAGGCCTAGCTCCATGCTGGCTCCCACTCCTGGTCGCATCACAACATGGGGACCGTGGAGGATTGGTGCTGTACGTGAGAGCCGGGGTTCCTGTGTGCTCAGCATGAATCTGGTGCTCGGGTAGAAGTCGTGGCCCTCCTTTTTGTTTCGGAACTAAATAATTTTGTAATAGTTTTCAATAAAAAGAAGAAAGTTCACCCAAACATGGTGGCTCGCCCCGTGATCCCAACACTCAGGTAGAGGCAGGAGGACCAGGAGTTCAAGGCCAGCCTATGCTACCTGAGAGAACCTGTTCCAAAAAAAGTTTGTGCATGTGGCTGAGAGAAGGCTGATTGGGTAAAGAGCTTGCTAAATGCACCAGGATCTTAACTTGAATCCTCAGAACCCCGGTAATCCCTGCCCTTACAGTAAGGTGGGAGGGGGTGCAGCAGAATCCCCCAAAGCTGGAGGCCAGCTTAGCCTGAGACAAAATGGAAGGCAAGGACTCATCTGAGGTTGTCCTCTGACCTCCACGTTTCTGCAGTGGCGTGTTCACATGCACAACACAAATGTGGATGAACATACATGTCAGCTCCAGTGTCGGCTTTCAGGGTCTAGGCACTTGAATCCCCTTCACCTCACCCGCCCCCACCCCTGTTCACTGAGAAAAGGGTGAGGAGCCTGGAGTTGTGAAGTTAGTCCAGATCAGCCAGGTCATGTGTTACCCTCCTGCCTGGCAGGCCTGGCAGCAGCCTGCCTGAATGTGACTGGGGAGGGCTTGGGCCCGAGAACTTTTGTTTTAGTGCTGGGCCCAGAAACCGGGCTCTAACTCCTGCTAGGCTAATGCGGTACCACTGAGCTACGTCTCCAGTTTCGGGTCATGTGAGCTAGGATCGGATCTAAAGGACACCTGGGCTACCACGGACCGAAAGGGAGCAGAGAAGACACGGTGCCTACCGCACCGTGCTTTCCCTCAGCACTGTGCAGGTACCTCACCCAAAAAACATTTGGCACAAATGTTAGCCACAAAGGGTAGCCCACGCCTTTTGGTTCCCAAATTCAGGAGGCAGCGTTTGAGGCCAGCCTGGTCTACAGAGTGAGTTCCAGGACAGTCAGGGCTACATAGAGAAAGCCTGTCTTGAATAAAGAAACAAGTTTAGCACACAGATGTACCTGAATTAGCCTAGGAAAGTTCATGACGGCATCCTGCTATCAGCTGTGCAGTGGGTGGGGAGCAGAACTTTCTGGCTGCGTCAAAGACTTCCTCTGAAGTCCTGAGTCCCCAGGAAGGTGATGGAGAGGAAAGTCAGTGCAGGGATAAAGCCTGGTTTTGAGAGCAAGCTGATGCAGAGTACAGAAACACGGGAATGACTTGGTGCTCAAGAAACAAACCTGGGAACCTCGCCGTGTCGGTGACCTTTCCAGATCTATGGTAAGTTCCGGGCGAGGGTGTCCTAAAGCAGCATGCCTCCCTCCTCAAGATCCCAGTGAGTCGCCCCAGATTTGGAGGCTCCTTACGCCGATCCCTGACCCTGCTCCTCTCTGATCAGGCAAGAAGGACGTCTTTGTTTCAAGTGCCAACTAAATGAGAAAAGACGGGGGCATTTGTCCAAAGTCCACCTTGCCTGAAGGCTGAATCAGGGGCGGTTTACACAGAGAGAGGGTCAAGGCAGACTGGTGGGCGCCTCCTCCCAGGTGGAGGAGGCTTGCACTACGCTCAAATGAGGCACATCTGATGCTAATCTAGTCACAAGGCGCTTTTCATTTCTGCCGGTCTCCACTCGAGGCTCATTTCCTCGAGCTATTCCTGTCATCGGAGCCTCTGCCCACCTGCGGTGGCTGGCCCACTGCACAACACACGGGCTAGACGGGGCCCATCACCAAGTTAGGCGACGAAGGAAGACAGTCCTGCCGGGGACTGTGGAAGACACAGGTCAGGCGGAGGATCGCAAGTCGGCAGAACTCCGATCTCAGTGCCCAGCTGCGGTCCCGGTGCCGCAGCCATGAGCAAGGGAGCAGCCCAGAACCCGGACGGCCCCGAGGCAGGACCGCCCTGGAGTCCCAGCGCGGGTCTCGCGGTGCAGCCGCGTGCTGGCGCCCCCTAGAGACCGCCAAGAGCAGCGCTCCTGCAGCTTGGCGGAGCGCGAAAGGGCCGCGGACCCGAGCAAGTCTCGCGAGAACAGGAGCTCTATTTGAGCGCAAGCGCAAAGCGCTCTGTTCTCTTTTCCGGTTTTCGCCGCTGGAGTAGCCATGAGGTATGTGTGTTTACCGGGGCGCGATCCGCGGCCATCCGCTCATCCGGGTGTCCCGCGGGCACGCTGCGGCCCGACTCGGAGGCCGTTCCTGCGGCTGCTCGTGGCGCGAGCCCTCTTCCCGGCATGCTGTGGGCCACGGCGCGGGGCCCGGCGCCCGCCCTCCCGGCGTCCAGCATGGCTGGCCCTGAACCCCATCGCTTCTCCCCAACAGCAGCAAAGTCTCTCGCGACACTCTGTACGAGGCGGTGCGGGAAGTCCTGCACGGGAACCAGCGCAAACGCCGCAAGTGAGCGCGGGCCTCCCCGGGCAGGGCGGGGTGTGCGTCCCGGAAGCCGGCGGCCTGGGCTCACGCTGCCGCTGCCCTCTCGCCTAGGTTTCTGGAGACGGTGGAGTTGCAGATCAGCCTGAAGAACTATGACCCTCAGAAGGACAAACGCTTCTCGGGCACCGTCAGGTTGGCACCGCTCTGACCCCACCCAGCCCTCAGTGTTCCCGTGTGGCCTCCCCCTGAGCCCGAGGCGGGCACGGGGACACTGACGTGCCAGGGTAGTTCAGGAGTCCTGCTGCGGGCAGGCTGGCTGGACGGACCCCCACCCTGGGTCTTAAAACAAGAGGGGAGGCGTGGGGAGGCCTCGGCCGAGCCCGCCGGCTAGCCTGAGAAGCCAGGCTAGCGTTGCAGACACCTGGGTAAGACTCGGGGCTTGCTGCCACCTCAGACTCCTCCAGCCTTCTGGGCGCTCGGGACGGGCCGTGACTTGTTCTTTCCCTCCCCCCAAACTGCAGGCTCAAGTCCACTCCTCGCCCCAAGTTCTCGGTGTGCGTCCTGGGGGACCAGCAGCACTGTGATGAGGCCAAAGCCGTGGATATCCCTCACATGGACATTGAGGCGCTGAAGAAACTTAATAAGAACAAGAAGTTGGTCAAAAAGCTGGGTAGGTGCGGTTGGTCTGATGTTGGATTGGGGGGAAGGGCTCGACTTTGAGATACTGGAGATGCCCTGGCTGCCATCCTGGTGCCGAAGCTGGCTTGCCTTAATACAACTCCTGGCCAGAAGTGGCAGCGTTCATAGTGGGCTTCCCATCGGTTGGCGATTAGGAAAATAACCCCCACAGGCTTATCTGGTGGAGTCAGCCAATCAGTTGAGGCCCTCCCTTCCCAGGTGTAAGAAGTTGACCCATAGGCAGCTTTTGGTTTTTCTTGCGTTGATGGCCTGGTGGGGTCGCAAGGGGAAAGGTCTGACGGGTTGGCCTGCATGGTGGTCTAGAAGTTCCATGGGGGTGTGGTCTTGCGTTTGCAAAGGTGTTTATAGTGAGGCCAAGCATTGCACTTAAGCAAATGAAGTTAGACCTGCTTTGAGAGAAATTTGGATCGGAGGTTGAACTTTTAACTCCCTTCGAAGTGCTTAGGGGCCTGTTCTGGCACTGAGCTCTGTCCTCCATTGTCACTAAGTTGCCCAGGCTGCACCGTGGCAGTCCTGCCTCTGCTTCGGGCTTCTCTGGGCATGGTTATAGGCCAGTGCTGGGACTGCAGTTGGTGGGGCCCTCACAGCCCCTTGGTCCTGTGCAGTATGCAGTGGACTGTGGGTCATCCTGGTATGAGACCAGTGTAAGGAGCAGTGACACTTGATGGAGTTACTCAGTGGGTCTGGGGAGGCAGGTTGGTAACCACTTTTTGTTTGGGGTTTTTATGTAGCCTTGGCTCCCTGTGCCAGGACTGAAGGCGTGCGCCACCACACCCAGCTGTTGGTCATTTTAAAGGGTTGGTTTAAGTGCTTCGTGGCCTGGTCCTAAGTACCCTGTGGCTTCTCATTCCAGCCAAGAAGTATGATGCCTTTTTGGCCTCAGAGTCTCTGATTAAACAGATCCCACGTATTCTGGGCCCAGGCCTAAACAAGGCTGGCAAGTTCCCTTCCCTGCTGACACACAATGAAAACATGGTGGCCAAAGTTGATGAGGTGAAATCCACAATCAAGTTCCAGATGAAGAAGGTTGGTCTGGCCATGGTGCCTCTGGGGAGGGACTATAGTGCAAAGCCCCAAGAAACTGAATTTAGGCTCCTGAGGCAAACCCAGATAGCAGGGCTGGCTGGAGGACAGCACAGTGTAGCCTTTTGAAGAGCTCTTCACCTGGATTTGAATATTTAGTCACTGGGAAAGGGACAGCCTGCACCGTGCTGTTCCTGACCTCGTCCCTCCCCGCAGGTGCTGTGTCTGGCGGTGGCTGTTGGCCACGTGAAGATGACAGATGATGAGCTGGTCTACAACATCCACCTGGCTGTCAACTTCTTGGTGTCCTTGCTCAAGAAGAACTGGCAAAACGTCCGGGCTCTGTACATCAAGAGCACCATGGGCAAGCCCCAGCGCCTGTACTAGGACGCCCCAATAAACCTTAGCGCCACCACTCCCTTGTCTGCCTGTGACTAACTGCAGCGTGCAGTGGAGCTCAGACATAACCCGGTGTAGAGTGAGCTGCATGTGAGGATGGGTGTGGGGACGGTAACCTCAACGCGGGCACACCCCATCCCAAAGCCAAGCCTGTGTGTGGAAGGACCCTGTAGGGGCCTCTGCTTGCTCTTGTTCCATATTGGTATAAACTCGGCTCATCCCCAAGACAAGTGCTGCTGTCCTTCCTCAGTCTGCACTAGGGCCCTGTGTCCACTGTCTGACAAAACTGGGCAGAATTTAGAATTCTTGAAGGGGTCTTAAGCTAAAAGCTAATTCCGGTGTGGGCTGGTGCCATTTCCAGTGACAAGCAGAGGCTACCTGTAGGCTGCTCAGGGATGGCTCTTGGCTACCAGCCTGCAGCAGGTTTAACACCATCTTGGGCAGAGCCCTAGGGATTTGGTCTCCTGAACTCAAACCAGGCCAAAGCACTTGGTTTAAGCAGCTGCCAGAGTGCTAGAGCAGGCTAGCCAGTGAATGTGCAATGTGTCCTCTTAAATCCCATTTGCAAGGATGACGTGGGGGCCCTAGGGGTCTTGTGCATTACCAGCCAGCCCCACCCCAGCTCAAGAGTGAGTCTTGAGTCTCATTAAGACTTCAGCTCTTCAAGGGCTCATCCAGCTATTAGTGCCTAGTAATACCTAGAAATGACCTTCAGTAAACAGCCTAGCCTGACCATCTTGCACACCTGGCAGTAGCTGGCCCCCAGTCTCTGAGCTGTAGCCTGACAGGCACCAAGGTGAGGTCCCAATGCTAGGCATGCAAGTGAGTCATGAGAGGTGGTGGTTGATACACTGTCACACCTGTGTTAGTATAGGTCAGAGGTTGCATGTGGCACAACTCTTCTGACCCAGAAAACATTTAATTTTTTTTTTTTTGAGCAGGAGCCAGGCCTTGAGGAGCCCCTGCCTTGAGCCATTTATGATATAGCCCATCATAGCTGGATTTTAAAAATACACAAAAATATAATACATGTTATAAAACCTAGGTGGGGTTTGGAGGTGGCCTGAGCAGTATGCAAACGGTGAAGACCTTCAGGAAGCTCGGGCAGGATGAGGAGGGGCACAGTACTTCATTTGAAACTCATAAATACCCAGGTGGCCTGGGGACAGGCTGTGGAGGAGGAGGCTAGGGCAGGAGCCAAGGACTCTTCAAGTTCCAGCCTCCTGTTCCCTGCCACTGTCTACAGGGTCCTGAAGAAGGGGTCCCTAGTGGCCCGCGTGCTGGGGAGACTGAGGCTGTACCATCCCAGCCACGCCCCTCCCTTGGCGCCAGCCCTGTTCTAGGGAGGTAGCCGAACCTATGCTCCAGCTCTGTCCACTGCTGTGGGCCTCCATCTTGGCACTGTTGACATAGAAGACCCAGACTTGCTGTGCAAGGGGCCTAGGAACAGGCCGGCACCCAGAAGGCACTAAGAGGTGTGGGCCCTTCTCAACCCAGCTCCCAACTTGGCTCCTCGTACCAGGGCCTTCTTGCAAGCTGCCTTTCCCCAGTCTCCATTTACCCTCACCTGCCCATCACGCTCCCCTCGGGGCCAGCGACCATGCACGAAGCCCACAGGTGTCCTCTACCCCCCCCCCCGCTCTGACGTCACGTGAGGCCAGGTGGAGCGTGGGCATCTGTGGGTCGGTGCCCGGGCAGGCCACCCCACCATGTGAGCCCTCTTCTCTCCAGTAAAGCGCAGAACAGTGGCAGGGAGCGCATGTGCCATGCTGCCAAGGCCAGGGAGGCAGCCTGGGTCCCGGCCTGAAGCCAGTGGGTGGGCGAGTCCCCCAGCCCATGCCCCGGGAGCCCAGGCAGGCAGGTGTGTGGAAGATGTCCGCCTTGCATCCTTGTGGACGTCGAGGGCACGCTAGTCTTTGACAAGCTTGTAGACGTGGTGCTGGGCCCCGTGCTCGCTGGTGGAGACTTCAAAGACGAACGCGATCACCAGCAGAGTCTCCTGGGAATCCCGACTTGTGACCACCTGTGGGGGGTGGGGGGCAGGGAGAGCGGGGACTCAGCCGGGCCCTCCCCGGGCTCGCCTGGTCCCCGCTGAGCCACCAGGCCCGCCCGCACCTGCAGGATGGTGAAGTTCTCCAGGACGCTGTTCATCATGTACTTCTCCGGCAGGTGCTTGAGCTTGTGGATGAAGTTGATCATGTACTCGCACATGGGGGAGCGGTGGATGCGGTAGACGAAGCGCCCGTTCTCCGGCCGGGCGTACTCGGTCTGCGGGGTTGCGGCGGCAGCGTCACTGCGCGCCCCCCGCCCGGCCCGCCCCCCGCCCGGCCCCTGGGGCCTCCGCTCACCTCCACTTTCTCCACCACCTGCTTGCCGAAGGAGCACACCTTGGTGGAGACGCTGATGGTCATGCTGTCGGCCGAGCTGTACTGCGAGCTGACCCCGTAGAAGGCCCCGGGGCCCTCCTGAACCGTGCTGTTGAGGTCAGCCTGGGGAGGGCACCGCGTGCTGCAGAGGCCGGAGGCTAGCCTCCCGCCTCCAGTCCCAGCCACCCCCCACGCCGGTCCCGGGGGTGGGGGCGGGGGCAGGGCGAGCCGCCGTCTTGGGCGAGGAGAAGAGGCCTCACCCAGAACTTGACGAGGAAGAAGGCGTTCGGGGGCCCCTTCTCGTAGAGTTCCTTCAGCCCCCCCTTCTTCTCGGGGAACTTGTCGTAGATCTGCCGCACGTCCACCGCCTCCAGGGGTGGGTCCGAGAAGGCAGGGTTTGACTGGCCGATGTGCACGAACAGGTGTTTGCTGTACTGTGGGGAGGGCCGAGCCAGGGTCAGCCTGCAGGGGCCGACCGGCCCCGCCACCGCTGGGACCCAGGGCTGGAGGGTGGCTCACAGGCCGGTCTCCCCGCCGTCCCCCACGTTACCGTGTCGGGGTCCCGTTGCACCTCCATGAAGGCAGAATACTCCAGGAGGCGCAGGCGGGAGGAGGCGATGCTGCGGTCCTGCCACGCAGGCGCGGAGGCGGCGGCTGGGGGCAGCGGGGCCAGGGGCTCGTAACCTAGGAGGACAAGCTGTCGCTCATCTGCCCTACACCCCAAGGGGTGGTCCCGGAAGTAGTCCCGGGACGCTTTCCGTGTGCGTCTATGTATAATATATATAGACAATAATATATACAATAACATAATATATACACAATGACGTGTGCTTCCGCAGAAAACGAGACTGCAGCAGACCGAGTGGGATCACGGTACGATTTGGGTGGGTTGTTTTGTTTAGACAGGGAGTAGAAAGTTCCCAAACCCCTACA